CTGTACACACTCCCCGCCCTATGACTCAGTCAAGGGTGTCCATAAAATGTGGACAATCATCTTTCTCTAGAAGCCATCATGCACTAACTGGACTATACTGTACACACTCCCCGCCCTATGACTCAGTCAAGGGTGCCCATAAAATGTGGACAATCATCTTTCTCTAGAAGCCATCATCCACTAACTGGACATCCCTGCCCTATGATTCAGTCAACAGTGCTGGTAGAGTATGAACAATCACCTTTGTCTAGAAGCCATTATCCACAACAGTACTGTACTCGAGAGTCCGGCTTCCCTATCTATTGTGGGCTAACCAAAGGATTGACTCCAGAAGTTTCCCTTGACCAGAATTTACAAGGTAATAGATATTTCGGGGTAAGGGAATTGTGTGCATGGGTGTGCAAAACTCCTGTGTTATGTTGTTCAGGCCTTCTGCCTACTCTTTCAATGGTGTTGTGCTTCTATTATTATATGGAGAGTTAATGAGGCTTTAAGGATCACCTGGTAGGCCTGGGGGCTCCCTCTGAGCTTCTGAGATTGGCAGGACCTTGACTGGCTAGAGATGGATGACTAGAGATGGCTGGGATAAGGCCTAGAGTTCATCCAGCTAAAGATACCTCCATTTGAGCACCCCGAATTAGATCTCTTCTTAAGCCAGAGGCTATCTCTGCACCTACAGCTAGCAGTATTTGAGCTTGGCCATGCTTAGAGATGGCTAAGGATGGTGGGACATATGCCTGGGATAGTGAGAAGTGTTCTTCCTTATCTATAGTCAGGAGAGAAAAGGAGGTTCAGGTCTGTGGACACCCCACCCCGACTTGGCCCCCACATCTGCTCACCACAAGTGTTTAAACGCCAAATAAATCTAGAAAGCTCATAAGAAAACACTAGCAGTCTCTTACATCCTCCTGGTCCCCATGTCCAGTTACTGCTTCTCCCCCCTTGCATGACAATGTTTACCTACACTGAAATTTGGGAGGTGTGCCTGGAGAGGACTGGCAGTTGAACCCAGAGCACCGTGAATGCCAGGCTGGTAGTTACCACTGAGCTATCTAACCAGGCTTATTGCAATGTCCTGATTTTTCCAAACTAGGTATATGATTTAATGTCGCCTTCTGAGTTGAAGGTTTCATTCTCCTATTTGGCCCTCAGTGATTGCGGTTTTGAAACCACTGTCCTGTGTGTCATCTCAAGTTGCTTTTCTCCTGGAAACATTACTACAGGAGTACTAGTTTTTCAAGGAGACACATTGATTTGCTGTGTGTGTGTGTGTGTGTGTGTGTGTGTGTGTGTGTGTGTGTTGTATTTTTACAGTAGTTCCTAGGCATCTGGACTTAGGTTGTTGGTATTGTTGTTAGTATGGCTATCTGTTCATATGCACATTTGTTTGTTGAGTTGGCATTTTTGTCTATTTGCTATTACCCCAACTGTCAGTTTTTGGACCACGTGAATGGGGCTTGAGATTCAGTCTGGGAACCACTTGGTAATGATGTGGTCCTGAACACAGGAACAAACCTTCCATAGAGTTAGCAGACACTCACTGCAGACACCCAGAAGTCTGTTGAAGGCTTCCATGGTTCCTATGTGGTCCTTAGGTGCCAGGAGGTGGAGTCAATGAAGTTCTCATGCTCCAATGGATATTTGTACAACCATGCTCACACAGAGTTCTCAAACTCAGTGGGTCATAGACCAAAAGAAAAAGACTTGAATGGCAGAAAGGGACTTGAAAGGAGGAGGGTAAGTTGCTGAGTGTGGAAGACAAGTAAGAGAGACCAGGGTGAGAATAATCAGAATGCATGATTGTAGCTCAAAGTTTTTCTGTGTCCCACCTGGCCAATGGTCAGGACAAATCTCTCTCACCCACCAGTCCTGCAGCCACTCAGACCCAGTAAACACACAGAGGCTTAGATTAATTATAACTGCTGGGCCATCAGCTCAAGCTTATTACTGACTAGCTCTTACATTTAAATTAACCCATAATTCTTATTTATGGTTAGCCACGTGACTTGGTACCTTTTCTCAGCTCTGCCTTCACATCTTGCTTCCTCTGTATCTGGCTGGTGACTCCTGACTCAGCCTTCCTCTTCCCAGAATTCTCCTTGTCTGCTTATCCCACCTATACTTCCTACCTGGCTACTGGCCAATCAGCATTTATCAACCAATCAGAGCAACACATTCACAGCTCCCATCACATGATATATATCTATGAAATTATCAAAAATAAATTTAATTTAAATACTTAAGGAATACAGAATTAAAATACAGAAAGAAGGGAAGAGAGAGACAATGTTCCATATTTAAGCTGATAAATGAATTTTTATGTTAATTTTTAAAGATTGTGTTGAGGACATTGTGTAAATCACATTTGGTTAAAGGTATTTAAATCTTGCCCCTTCAAACATTTTTTTTTATCAAAGCCAGGCATGGTGGATATACCTGTAATCCCACAGCATTTGGAAAATGGAAACAGGAGGACCAGAAGTTCAGGGTAAGCCTCAACTCCAGAGCCAGTTTGAAAACAGTCTAGGCTATATAATAATTTATCTCAAAAGTATTTTTAATCAAATGATCATAAAACATAGATCAACAGATGCAATTTAATAAAGGTATTTCAATGTTTTTCCAGCCATAAAACTCTGTGGAAATAATACAGAATCCTCACACTTCTATTTCTGCAACAAACTATCATTTACTCAAAACAAAATACATAATCAACAATTACATCTACGTTGGAATTTATCAATATTTGTTAATCCTATGTATTAAAGCATTATAAATGACTGCATGAGAATGTAATATAACCAACTGGGCTAACTGGCTGGCCCTGCCCTTCACTGACCCAGGGAGGGCCAGGCCCCCCTCACCAGAGGACTGACCCTTCCCCCTGCTGGCCTGGCCCCTGATAGGAGAGCTGCCCATCCCCAAAATTTGGGAAAGATAGCCCCACTCATCACCACCACAGGTATGAGAGAGCTGGATTAGCTCTTCCCCAGAGGGGGATGGTCTCAATGATCACAACATCCTGGACTGACCAACTCAGCTACCACCCAAGGACACATCCAGGACTTTGAGTAGGCACTCCCCAACATCTACCCCATTTATGACCTACTGGAGCCTAAAAGGGATTGCTCCTGTGGAACCAAAGCCATAAAATCTCCATGATTCCTGGCAACAGCAGGATATCTGAAAAGAATGTCAGTGAGGGTCCAGTGATGATGGTTTTACCAGAAGCCAGAGACCTTGAACCTGACCAACAACACACTACACAATGAACATTTGCAAGTGAAGTTGTTTGGACAAAAGACTATACTGCAGGACACACCACAGCTCCCAATGCCACCAAGATGAATGAAGAGGTGATAGAGAGGCAGAAAATATGGAAGAGCAAAGTGGTTTTTGTTGTTGTTTTGTTTCAATGTTTGCTTTTAATTTGTTTTTCTTTGTTTCATATTCTTATTTGTGTTTTTATTTATATTATTTCTTGTTGATTTTTGTGTTTATTAGTTTAATAATATTCTTATGGGTGTATTTTTATTAATTCTTTTTAAGTTTTCCTTTGTTGGGGATACTACAGAATGAAAGGTGAATACTGAGAAAATGGGAAATGAGTGAGATTGGGGTGCATGATGTGAAATTCTCAAAGAATAAATAAAAACTTACATTTAAAAAAAAAGAATGCAATCTAAGATCTGGAGTTAGCATATATTACATACGAGCAGAGAAAAATAATGACTCTATCCCATAACCCCTAGAAACTGGTCCCTAGAAGCCCTTGAGAAAGTAAGAGTGAACTGGATGCACTCAATGTTTTCTTCACATCTCTGTCCTATACCTTGACAACCTGGGGGATGCCCACTTTTCCTGAAAGGTCTACACTGCTACTGTCTTCCAGCACAGCATCCTTGGTCACTTCAAAGGCCTCTGTCACCACATACAGGTCCTTCATTCCCATCTGGCAATCTTTCACAAATGATGGCTCCCAGTCCAGCAGTTTCCTGAAGGCATAAAATGAGAATGAAAAGATCTAAATGGCTAATATCCTAGAAACAGAAACCAAATCATAAGAGAGAAAAAAATCCCAAACAGAAAAATGTGAGCCAGGCTTTAAGAGCTAAAGAGATTGAGTCAGCTTCAGGCTGGGATGTGGTTCAGTCTATAAGTGCTGGCAATGCATACAAGAGGACACGAATTCAGATCCCACGAGCCACATTACAGCCCAATGTGGTTATAGTTGACTACACGCTACATGTGCTTGAACTCTGCTAAGACACTAGACAGTAAATGTTCTTGTCATAACAATAACAGTTCCTGAGTTGGCAGGACAGCTCCGTGTGTAGAGGTGGTTGCTGACCTGAGTTTGATTCCCAGACACACAGCAAAGGGAGAGATCTGACTCCTATAAGTTTTCCTCTGACGTCCACATTTGAGCCATGGCATGAGGGTGTGCATGAACACAAACACACACACACACACACACACACACACACACACACACACAGCATATAAATAAATGTAATGAAGAAAAGTTAAAATAAGGGTTACTAGATGGAGGGATAATATGTTACTGACATGCTTATATGCATATATCACACCAAAATACTTCGCATGAAACATGTATTTCTACTTCTAAATTATATCTCAAAAGAGATGTGGTAGAGGTCAGCTAAGTCCCAAAGCACTGGGATGTTAAAATGATTGCTACAGTCTTCCTCATATTTTAATAAATACTCCACCCATTTACTTCTACAATTCTTTCCTCACTACATGCCCATCCTCCATACAATAAACAGAAACTTCTTTTGGATCAGAACCTTTGTCTTTCAGTCTTGTTTTTCTGTCTATCACATTAATAGAACAGTAATGGGTAATTCTGTATTAATGAGTATTATTAGAAGAGCAGTATAAGCCATTATTTCAATAACTTGTAAAAAAAAAAGCAGAATAATGTGAGTTGTCATAAAAGCTGCTCCATGCCTCTTTTCCTACAATAACACATCCCTGAACTTGGCTGAGGCATCCTTTCACCTGTTTTGAGGACTTTCCAGTTTTGAATCTGGGATGCTAGTACACCAAACCTCGATGTCGTATCCACAGGACTGAACTAACTCTGCTGAAACACTTCCTTCTGCAACACCCATGTTAGCCTTCAGTTTCCAGGATACAGTGTGTTTGAGGGGGATGGGAGTTGACACTTCAGGCTCTGAAGAGGAAAGGGGACAGAAGTTTAGCCAAGAATTCACTGTGGAACAGCTGTTTTGCAGAACGAAAAAAACAAGGCCAGTTTCTCTCCACATTCAAAACATAGTCAAGAATCTAGCTAATAATTAATTATATAATATAATTATATAATCAATTAATATCTGAAATATAAATTACTACAGAGGGCAAATTCTAAAACCAGTGCAAGCACAGTCTTAATCGTAAAAGAGGAAAGCATCATTTGTGCAGTGTCTAGGACTCGCCTGGAATCATCTTTCCAAGAACAGATTCCAGCCCCAGGGAAACTGGCTGAAATAGAATACCCAGGACCTGCAAACACAATGACCTCAGTCTGGATCCTAATTCTACCAGTTTGAACTCTGTAACTTTGACTGAGTTGTTTTAGGAACTTCAGTTACTTTTTTGTAACATGGGTATCAAATCTCCATCTAAAGAGGCTCTTGGAAGCATTATATAACCAAATGCCAGGAAGGGCCCCCAAAATGGGTGGATTCCTAAAAGACCTACCTTGACCTTTGCCTTTAAGCATGATGGCTCATTAGCTACCTTTATGGACACCATGTGGGTTCTGGAAAGCTGCACCACTGAAAATACTGAGTTTTTTCACTTCTCTGCCCCTTGGCTGACTATTCCTGGGACTGGACAATTTGGCTCTAAGATCTGCAGAAGAGAAGATCCAACTGGAGTATCTTCATATTCAAAAAACAGCGACTGAGGATTCTTCTGCAGTATCTCAAACTGGCGGAACTTCATCGCATCTGACAAACGTCCGACAGGCTTCAGATCTTTTCCTTGAAGCTTTTTGACGATATCCTTGCAAACCCAGTCAAATGAATGGGGCATGCTGTTAGTACCAAGTAGAAGGAAGTACGAATTTGAGTTTAGAAGAGAAAGTTGACACTCAATGATTCCTGGTATTTTTCATAAACCACCAAAGTGTGAGAGAGCCCCCAAGTCAGCACACAGCAGAGATTTACACATCCAAGTTATCCTTGAACCATACCAAATAGCCAAAATACAGACTCAGCCTAGATGCCCACCAATAGATGAATGAAGGCAGAGGCTGGAGGGATGGCTCAGAGGTTAACAGCACTGTCTGTTCTTCCAGAGTGCCTGGGTTCAATTCCCAGCACTTACATGGCAGCTCACAACCATCTGTAACTCCAGTTCCAGGGCATCTTAAGCCTTCTTCTGACCTCTTCAGGCACCAGGCATACATGTAGTATGTAGTACATATATGCACACAAAACACCCATCCATATAAAAATAAAGAATATTTAAAAGAAAAACGGAGAATGAAAATGTGATATACATGCTTGGTTAAGTTTTATTCAACCATAAACTGTGAAATTATTACACATAGTGAATAGAATTCAAAACCATCATCTCAAATGAAATAGACTAAGCACAGAGGTACAGATATCACATGACTCTCTTGTACACACATACTACATTTTATGTATATAAGTATACATAAATGTACATAAGGATATACACATATATGTATGTATCTATATAAACATAAACATATACATATAAAATATATAAAGTTTGAAATCAGAAAGGGAAAATTTTCAGGGAGATAGGGCCTGTGGAGATGGGTCAGGAGAACTAGAAAATGTAATAGGATGAACATCAACAAAACATATACTGTGTGAGGATGCCACAATGAAACCCATTATTTCATGCTAATTTAAATAACAATAAATGCCAAAAGTAATAAGTGTGCTAATGACTTGGATAGGCATTTCTCTAACCAAGAAATGCAGTCAGTTCCTTGCCTAGGAGATTAGAATCCTTCCCTGACATAAATAAGGACCTGGGTTCAAGACCCAGAACTACCAAAAAGAAATATAAATAACCAATAAGACGATGAAAACACAATGTCACAACTTACCATAACAATGTTAACCATAATCACAATGACATATTATATCTTCGGGATGCTATTACCAAAAACTATAAAGGTAATAACTGTCAGTATTAATGTTCTAAAAATGGAACCCTGTACACCATGGGAATATAAAATGTTATCTCCTCTAAAGAAATAAACAAGATTTCTTAAAAACTTAACAGAATTGAAAACGGGGTGTAATCCCAGCTCTCAGGAGGCAGAGACAGGCAGACCTCTATGACTAGGCCAGCCTGGTGTACAAAGCAATTTCCAAGACAGTCAGGGCTACACAGAGAAACCCTGTCTCAGAAAAAAAAAATGGAATTGAAAACAACACAATAGTACAGTTATGTTCATTGCAGCGCTAGTCACAAACACCAAAATGTAGAAACACTCTAAATGTCCATCAACAGGATGAGGAAAATGTGACATTTTACTGTGAACTATTATCAGCATTAAAGGGAAAGGAATTCTACAAAATGCAATAATTTGATAAATCTTAAGGATGCTGAAGTATATGTCAATCAAGCACACCCATGGATCTATTTATATGAATTATCTCAAATTATCCAAGACCCAGAGAGTGCAAGGATGCCCTCTAGAGGAAAGAGTAAAGGACCATTGCTAGTCAATCACCTTAATGTTTCATTTGTACAGGATAAAGAAACTGCAGGTCTGCTAGCAAGGTTTGGACCTATACTTTTTTGTATATTTCCAAACCTGTTGAAGGCAGAGCTCATGTTATGTATTTTACCACAATATATTAACTATTATAGAAGATCTTATCCATGCACACAGTCATAACCCTACATAGGTATTTCTAGGCTGATAATCAAAATCTGCAGATGTTCCAGTGTCTTTCCCTATGAACACACACTCCTCCCACATCATTTAAATTGTTTCTAGAACACTTAAAATGATATTATATCCATAACAGTTTTAAGCTGCTGTGAAAAAATACCTGACATAAATAACTTAATGGAGGAGAGATTTATTTTGACACAGGGTTCCAGAAGGCTCAGTCCACAGTCACTTCAGCACCGTGCATTTTGACTAAACATTATGGTGACAGGAAAACATGGGGGAGAAATGATTGACTTCTTAGCAAGCAAGAAGCAGAGAGCCATCCAAGGAAGGGGCATGTAGTTCCAAGTTCATGTCCCCAGTGTCATATTTATTCTACGTATGCCCTCCATCTTAGAGTTCTCCAGGATGCCCAAAATAGTGACAGTAGCAGGAGCCCACACATTCAACATAACATGGGGGCAGGGGACATTTCACATTCAAAACATGGCAGTAAACAAACCACATACACAGTTGTTGCAGAATATCCGCACATGCAAAACAGGGTCTCAACATGTTCTATTCAGATGCAAGGCTTCTGAATATTTTCTTTCTGAAATATTTAGTTTTCATTTTAATTTAATGAAAGTCTGTGTAAGTGCCATATATGGGTGCCCATAGAGGCCAGAGGAGGGCAGCAGATCCTCTAGAATTTGAGTTACAAGTGATTGTGGGTGCTGGGAACTGAAATGGAGTCCTTTGGAAGAGGACCCCAAATGCTTTTAACTGCTGTGCCCTTTCTCCATCCCCTAAATATTTTCTCTTTTTAAATATGTATATGTGTCTATATGACGTGTGTGCATGTAAGTATGAATGCATGCTTTTGGTGTGTTCTTGGGAATAGAATTCTGATCCTCACACTGCTAGGCAAATGCTATACCTGCTGAGTCATCTACCCTAACCCTTTTCTGAATATGATCAGTCCATGGTCAGTTAATTCCAAAGCTGCAGGATCCATGAATCTGTAAGGCCCATTGTACCACAAATGATCAAAAGAGAACATAATTCAGGCAAAGAGTGGCCTAAGTATATTTGTGACATGGAAAAATTCCTCGGTATGAAAATCCCAACAGCAAGGAGTGTGACTTACGTCTGAAGCTATTCACAGCCAAGTTCAAATAAGAGATATTCGAAGGTGACACTAGGATGATGACTCTACAGAATTAATAATAATAATGATAATAATAATAATAATAATAATAATAAAGTTCTATGTGGGTCATGAGAAAGACAGAAGTGTAGAGAGGGCTTTGAAATTTCTAGGTTGGACAACATAATGGTGGTGGTACCATTTCCCTGAGTGCCAATTCCAAGTGGAGAAAGAAAATAAATTCATACCTATGCACATTGATTTGAGAAGCAGGGAAAGACTGAAACAGACAGTCATACATACCAGCACATGACAGCAGAAACTGTCATGGAGATAGACACAGATTTCTGGATGGAAATCGAAACCTTGACTGTATATACTGGTGAACTTGCATATGTCAACAGGTATTACAGCACATTGTATAAAAGATGAAATGAGTGTAATCTGTTTACATCACTTTCTTTATAGCAACAAACAAGATTCCCAATGACAAGGAACTGAGGTTTGGATGATATGACTGTAATAAGACAAGAATTGTCACTGTCGCTGCAAAGGTCCTAATATGACCATTTTCAATTATGTCTCCAACACCAAACCTGAACAAAGATGTATCCGAGACCAAGCCTTTACCCTTACATGCCCTCATGAGCTCCCCACTAATTCTCCTAGGAAGCACTTAACAAAGGAATGCTTCCTTCCCTGCTGGTCACATTACATAGGAATAAACTGGCCAACTCAATTCACAACCAGCCTGAATGACTGACTGACCACATAGCCTTCTCTCCTTACTCACCCCCTGGTACCCATCCACACTTTCCAGGTTGAAGCCAGTTTTCCCCCTCTAGAGAAAGTGCAGTGGAATGCAGCTCTTCTCAGTCATTGGACCTTCTGATTTGGGTACAGCTTGTACAAACTCTACCTGTGTTTCCTTTGTTTCAAGAGGTCTGAGTCAGTTTACTGTGTAATATTCTGGGCGTGTAAGCACAGGCATGACCTCTTCTCTAGAACTAGTGTTCAAACCCACCATTCAAAAGACTACGGATCAGCACCAGAAAGCATTTGAAGTTGTTCCTGGAAAGCTCTCCTGGTTCAGAGAAAGGAGGATTCTTAGGAAACAATGTGCCCCTCTCTCTTTGTAAAGAAAACCAACTGAACAAGTCTCATTCCCAATTGTCAGGAAATGAAGTTAGAACTATTCACGCTTCTTCTGATGCATGTGCTGGGTGTAACACGTG